TTTTAACTGGGGATGGTATGGTTTGTGAAACTATGAACTGATCTCAAGTACACTGTCCAAGGAGTAGTTTTCTGTCACTCTGTGCATAGCTCCTAGCTATGGATTACTCACTCTATGTTTTTAGTGCCCAACATACTGTAGACATTTAATAGTTTGTATACATATTTTTAATAAAATACTGCATATGTACAATTTTACAAAAATCACCCTGTCATTACCTTACAGTTAATTCCCTTCATCAAGTTGACCTTGAAAAGGAATCAGCATATATCACTCAAAAATATGTCCCTTTGACATATTATTTTGAGTTGAAGGATTATTTTGAGTTGAAGGTAACTAAGAATAAACATACACAAGAAAAAGTCTCTGCTTTTTCCCTTTCTACCTGAAAGCTGAGCATAAAATTCCCTTTTGGAAAAATGCCTCTTCCATGCCTCCCACCTTCCACCACCTACCCCTTATAAGGAAGGGGCCAGTGAATCTTAGCTATGGAGGTAACACCAAATGGTCTGCATTGGCACAACCTTACTAAGTATCCCTTATTTTCCACTAGTTTCCTCCAGTATATTTACCTCTGTACCATTTCCTGCCCTTAAAAGCCTAAAGCCCTGGGCCCTCCCTAGTGGCACAGTGGGTTGGAGCGTAGCATTGCAAGCGAGGTGCAGCCACTTTCAGTGCAAGTTCGATCCCTGCCTGGAGGTGACCCACATGGCACAGAAGAACTCTCCTGCCTCACCCCGCTGCTCCCCTCAGGAGCATATTTCATCAATCGGTCTGTTCTGTTCCCTGCTATGTCTCTGGTGAATCCTTTCACCCCCCTGAGCTTCTGGCCTGCACCCCAGTTCTGTATGAATAAACAAACAAACAAACAAAAAGACCTTTTCCACAAACATATTTTCCTTTGTTAAAATGACATAAAAGCCCCTGGGCCTAACCTTAGTTTTCATTTGGGGTGGGGGTCTTCAGTATTCTTCTGTAAATGCAAACATAATAAGCCACTTCTACTAATCTGTATTTTGTAGCTTCTATTCACATAACCTAAAAGGGCAGAGGCAACCCCCCCAATCTAACTCTTAAAAATTCTAAGCATCAGTTAAAAGCTGTTAATAGACATATTCTACTAATCAAGCACACCAAATATAGATTTACCAAGAAAAGCAACATTTCTGGAAAATAGCATATTTAGGACTTCTAGGGTCAAGAAGAAATTTTACAAGTCTCTAGCATAATGGAGCAAACTTTTTCCTTTATTCCTTATGTTTACTGAGATATTTTTGCAAATCAATAGAAACAGAGAACATAAAAGTCAGAATTCTAGGCTTGGCATGAGTAGGTGAGTTATTCCTGGGTACATTTAGCTGCACAATAGGTACTTTTATGTATTCTATTTTACATAGATGCCAAGAAGACAAAGGAGTGAGATTGTTATATAAAAGGTATAAATATCAGTTACCACTACAATGAGAAGGGAGAGAAGAATATACATATCAAGGGGAAAAAAAGACTCCATTATATGCTTAGAGTAGCTTAGTGCTAGGTTCAAAGACAAAACCAGACACCAAACACTAAAGGTATATTGAATGAGTTCTCTTTGAACTGTCCCCAAATACAATAGAATATTTTCCTAAAAACAACATAACTGTTAACGAACTACACCAGGAAAAAAAAAAAAAAGCAGCTCAGTAATCTAGGGAGTGTTGCTATTTTTTTATGTTAAAGAATTATTATGCCCCTCATTTAAATGGCCTTGTATTAAAACAAAGTTGAGTTACTTAGGTTTGTTTTTTTTTTGGGGAGGGATGGTGAGCAGTTAAGAAACTGTAAGTAGGATTATTAAAATAGGCATAATACAAAGTGGTCTGAATAGTTCTTTTTTAATAGTAATTAATATCTGGGAACTTTATAGTAAATTAAACTAATAAAAACAAACCCTTTGTCCTAAAGGAAAGGAACTAAGGTATTTACCACTACATTTAATCAGTAAAGGATTTATAGAGGAAGTGGGCCTTGAAGAAATGGGCAAGTCTGAATATAAACAAGAGAATGCCTCCATCAAGACAAGAGGAATAGGAAATAAAGGCAGAGGCAAAAATCCAACACACATTCAGACCTACCAGACAGGAGCGAGGCTACTAAGTATTCCACAAATAAAAGATCTGCAAAGAAAAGCTCTTAAATCAAGTCTTTAAGTCAGGGTCTGGGCAGGGGGACAAACTGATCAGGAAGATGTGGTAAGTAACAGTGGTGTTGAAGGACATATGTTATGTTGTCAGAACGCAAACGAGGAACAATTTTGCCTGCTTGATTTTGGGGAAATAATAAAAGGCCAAATATTTGTGTTCAATCTTGAAGGATGAGTAGGGCTTTGCCCTGTGAGGAAAGGGGACAGAATGTGCATTCTGTGGCAAAGCAAATAGCACGGAAAAATGAAAATGAAAGAGGTTAATGGACAGATTTATATCCACCAAGGAGGATGCACTACGGGATCAGAATAGACTTAAAAGGTAAGATGAGCTTATTCTGAAGGTGACAAGGAATCATCAAAGTTTTAAACTAGAAAATTACATAGCTGACTGTTTCAAAGAAACAGCTGGTGGCAGTATAGAAAATGAATTGGGTAGAGACAAAGGCAGAAAAACCAATGCAAGATTACAGCTAATGTTTAAACGAATGTTGAAGGCCTAGGAAATATAAGCGACAATAGGGGGTGGGGGCAGATTCCAGGGCATCTGTGGGAATAGACAGGAATCTATAACTAATTTTATATGTGTGACAGAAGGATAAATATTTTTGCCTGAGTTAAAAGATAACTCATGAGTATTGATACCATTAAAAAAAAAAAGGTGGAGAAACAGGTTTGTTTGTAAATAATTAAAATCTTTCCATGAATGACCATTACCATAAGACCTGGGCTCGGCAGGTGCCAAGTCCTAGAGTCCATCTTTTGAATTGAGCTGACTAGTATGGTTTCTAACCCCACTGCTATCACATTCTAGCATAATTATCATTTTTTTCCTCCTGGGTAACAGCCCCTTAAATAGTCTCTATCATTTTTTTCCTCCTGGGTAACAGC